AGACCGATACAAACAATAACACTCATGAATACAAAAGCTTGCACCGTGCAAGGAATCGAACCCGTGATTGTTGGAAGTACAGTGGTGGACACCATGGATGTCATCGTTTTGTATTTAAGGAATTTCATTTCAAATGCATAATTTTATATAGCAATACTTTTCTCAATATAAATGATTAAATATCTAACTTAGTAATAATCAGTATTAACAACGAGTAATTTTATCTAACAACAATATTCTCATTGGAAATAATTAATACAAATTTAGTAATATTTACTAGTATTTCTACACGTAGAAAATATATTTATACTAATATGCTGACTCCGTTACGCCTTAAAATTAAATATGTCAATGGTTTTTTAAAGCTTAATTAGGCAATAAATTTCTGATCGCACCCCGTTTGGTATCTGCAGTTTGTACGGGAAAATATAATTGTTGTTTTTACTATTTTACATGCTATTTCTTCATATTTTATCACCTTTTAAACCTTCCCTGGATTTCCACGAATATTTTAAGATGAAAATTAGCCTAATCGATTCAGCCGTTCTCGAGTTTTAGCAAGCGTAACGAACAGCAATTCATTATGTATATAGATTTTTCAATTATTTTGAGACTAATGGTTTTTATATCTCTGCATATTTATAACACTTGCTTGTCTATAGATGTCATTTAAATCTAAGTGATTATTTAAAATGTAATATAAATATATAAGAAGGAATGTAAGAATGGTATATTCTTTATATTTTGAAAATTTTTTGTATATTATACTGATATCTTACTGGCCAGTTTTAATAATATAAAAAAATATATGTATGAACAGGACTAAGCTGTATGGACAAATGACCATTGCCTGCCGCTTTTAAATAAAACATCACGACGCTTTGACATATTCAATGGATATTAGGATGTATAGTTTTGTCCCTTTGCCACTTCAGCGAAAGATGAGAAAAGTAGCGAATTTTGTTTTTATACGCTTTCAAATATAATCTGATATTAATTAATTACTATTATATATTATTATATAATAATATTATTATTCGGATTACTCAGAATTTTAGGGCTACTTATAGAATAATTAATATATTTCAGCAGTAATTATTACCTACTCGCGGCAAATTGTGCCGAAATGTAATTAAATCAGCGTATGTTCTAATCATGCCAGACACGTGTTATGAAATTGTAACCTTAAAATTACAGTTAATTATGTAAAAAAATAGCTTTAAGGTAAAATATCTTCTTAGTACCTACACTAATTTAAATTATATTGTTGAATAAATTATTATAAAATACCTATGCTTGATATGATATTAGAATAATAATGATGTTTTATAATTCAGATTAGTATCACATTTCAACGATAGTATTATATTACTACTAGCTGTCCCCGCGACTTCGACTGCGTGGAATTTAACTTCATTTTTCTAAAATAAAAGTAGCCTAAGTTACTCCTTATTATATCAGCTACGTGCCAAAAAAAAGTCCCGTCAAAATCGGTCGAGCCATTTCAGAGATTAGCCGGAACAAACATACAGACAGAGAGAAATTGTAAAAAATGTTATTTTGGCGTATGTACCGTAAAATTCATATGCATGTAAAAAACGATTAATTCAATATTACAAACAGACACTCCAATTTTATTTATATGTATAAATGAATAGAATAATTCATATAGAATAGAATGCAAATAAGTGTTTAAAAGTACGAACATCATGATTTCTGCCATGTCCCATGCATCATTTCTTCCATGATCGAGTCAATAATAAACTTGATTACAGTTTCGGTCCTTAACTGTTATATACCTATGTCGATTATCGTATGCCTCTTACTTGTTATTGTATAAGTAAGTAAGTCATTTATTTGCATTACAGACAAGATAGTAAACAATTAAGCCACAGTGATGATATCAGCAGGCAGCGCTGTAATATGCCTTTTTACAGTAGTTAAATTTTTATTACTAAGCCTATAAGTTACATATGTTATAACAATTATATTCTAATTTAATATTTAACGATTATTATACAATGTTCTTACAATTATTATTATTATTACATATATATATATTTATTATATCTCCCTTTTTACGGAGGTAATATATTCAAACACGCGGGCCTTAGCCAAGCATGGATGAGTTATGTGATAAAGATAGAAATTTTCTGACTATTCGGTATGTGTTTAGTATGACGGCTTTTTGTAATAGGTCTATTGTAGAGGAGGGGATATGCAACGTGTCTAGGTGTTTGTTCAGACTTTTTGGTATAATTCCTGTGGATGACAAAACTATGTGTACTAGGTGTGTGCTTTCCATTGTTTTTTTAATTCTATTGCTAGATCTGTGTACTTTGTTAGTTTTTCATTATTAATTATTACAATTATTATTCTTATTATTACATTACCTTACATTTTTATTCATAGTATTTATAATTTAAATAATCATCTACAGAGTAGAAACAATGCACTACAAGTCATTTAGTCAATTTGTTTTTAAAATGTTGTCCTGTCAATTCTACTAAATTTGTAGGTCCATTAAATAATTTGTGCCATATAAAACACATCTCTTTAAAATAACGTTAGGTTACTTTTATTCAATACTAACTTATTCTTTCACGTTGTTCTTGCATTACCCTTTATCTGCCAGTAGGATGTAAACATACGTAAATTCTGTTTCACGAACAAACATATTTCAAGTATGTATAAACACGGTATAGGAAGAATTGTGTAGTTATTTATTTAAAACAACTTTTATTCGAATGAGCAACACACAAGTCTCACACACACTCTTCTTGTGATGAGTCTGCGTTCAGAGTGAGTAGTACCACAGATAACATAATATTACATAGTAGTACCAAGTAGTATAATAAAAAATAAGACATTCAAAAGTGCTAGTATTGAGTTTATTTGAATAAAGATTATTTCTATTTCTATTTCAACTGCTGAAGTAAAATCGAAAAAGCCGAAACTGACAGAAACCGAAAATTCGGTCTTAATTAAAATCTCCGCTGACAGTCGGCACTGACCCCAATGGCCACCTTAGTGTCGGTGCCCCGGGCGATACTGTCCTATACAAACTCATGAAGTTCTCGCTTCTACTCAGAGATATCCGGGTACTTAGCACACTACATGTCCAAATGGGTTTGGACATTTGGATATTTGATAACAACTGTTAACGGCTGGATGAGTTTGGATGAAATTTCACACAGAGATAGACCGTAGCTTCGTTACGGCAACATGTATATTTTTTAATGATATTGGAATGTTGCATCCGCCAGGAATTTGCAGGCATGATTTCCAGGAGAAACATGTGAAGGTGAATCAGACATGGTACGTTGTTAACAATGATCATCAGTCCACATCATTACATACTATAAAGTCGCTGTCGCTGTCTGTCCGTCTCTATGTATGCGTAAATCTTTAAAACTACGCAACTTATATTTATAACTGTTGTAACTGGCTAATCAGATATGTATTTTATATTCTAAATTTGCATTTATAGTTCTTTTATATTACATTCTTGTTTTTTTGATACTTCAATTCCTTCTTTCTGTTGTCAATATGTTAGTACTCTATTATTAATATATTTTCTCCGTTTTACCAAGTCTTTTTTCTTATTACTACAACAATAACAATATATAACTGTTAGCCGCAACTGGCCTATACTGCTCCAGACTATAGGAGGCGAGAGCAGATGATACTCTAAACATGTGGAAGGACTTATGGAGCGGCTGAAGGCCAACTCCCGCCTGACGGATACGACTTTGTTCTGAGGGCACTGTTAGGGGTTCGAACCTCGTCTCAGGCCATCGTAATCGATCCCCGTTTCAATTGGACAGCGTATCGATTGGAGGGAGCCCTTTGCTAGACTATGATCACATACTGATGGATGTTATTTTAAAATAAAATTGTAAAACAAATTGGGATTGTTAAATAAAAATTCATACAATATCCTTTTGTTTACATATTTAAAAAATTATAATTAAAGAGCTCATAAATAAAATTATCATAGAAATATAATTTTAATTATTAAATAAAAGTACAGTAAATAATAATAATGTCTCAGCATAATTGACACAGCGCCATCTAGTTCCAAGCTAAGCAGAGCTTGTGTTATGGGTACTAGACAACTGATAAATACATGGATACATTTTTTTTTGTAAATAAATACATATTATACATAGAAAACACCCAGACCGATACAAACAATCATACTCATGAATACAAATGTTGATACCGTGCGAGGAATCGAACCCACGACCATCGGATAGTAAAGCGGTGTGTTAAACTACTAGACCACCGAGGCTGTAAAGGGGTGGGAATTATTTATTTAAATTGATTTATATTGTTTGTCTTTAGTATAAGTTGCCTATTGTGACAATAAAAACTTAACAATGTTCAAACTTATTCAAATTTACATAAAACTTATTCAAATTAATTATGGCCATTGAAGGGAAGGGAATTCTTGGTAAGTCAAGTTGACCTCCACGCGGTTCCCTCTGGAAACCATAGTGATAAATTCCAGGTAAATTTATCACGATGCTAATTGACCTGACCTCATCTTATCATCTCCACTGGTGCCCCGGCAGCGTAAATCGTTAGCGCAGGTGAGTGCACCATTTCATTATCCTATAAAAAATGGTATTTCGACCACTAACCAATTTCGATCATTAACCAATCAAAGTAGTGGTAGTTTGATCAAATATTTATCAAATAAAATAAAAATAAATCCTTTATGTAATGTTAAAATTAAATAAAAATAAATAATTTATTCACAATTGTAAACAATAGCAACAAAACTTTAAACTGGTGTTTACATGGTACGGTATGGTTATTATGGTATTTTGACCACTCATTGACCAATCAAAGTAGTGGTAGTTTATCAAATATTTATTAAATTAAATAAAATAAAAATAAATTCTTTATGTAATGTTTTAATTTTTAATTAAATAAAAATAAATAATTTATTTACAATTGTAAACAATAGCAACAAAACTTTAAACAAACTGGTATTTACTTAATTGTCCTGCCTCAGGTTCAAATCACTATGATTCGTTTATTGTGCTATACGCGTATGGTGCAGTTTTTCTTCTGTATGGGATGTACGGTGGAGCATCAGGATAGTGGTGACCGTGATGATGGTGGTGATCGTCCTCCTTCTTCTCCTTGAGGTAGCTGGCGAACCAGGTGAGGAAGTAGCCAGCTTTGTGAAGGACCACCCAGAATACGAACGCGTATATCAGTTTTAACACGAAGATCTTCTTGATGACTAAATCCGCGAAGTAGACTAGAACAAAAAATTAATATCAGGACATTTTTTTTAAGTTTGTTATTGTAAATTTTTATGTTTACTTTGTTAGTAGTAGTTTAGAACTTAAAAATATCATCGTCGTCGATCTCTTATTGTATTAACTCACTGATAAAGGCTATAACCGAATAGCAGAGAGGGTGGACTCACTGCCCTCTCTGAATTATAGACTGTTTTGTCTCTTTCATTACTTTTAAATGTTATTATTATATAAGCAGCAATTGTTAGTTTTTATTTGAGACAAATAAAGATTATTATTATTATTATATTAAATATTCACACAGCGTCATCAAGTCCCAATCTTAGCAGACCTCGTGTTATGGGTACTAGATAGATAAGAACTGATATAAATACACAGTTACTTATTTTGTATATTACAATACATACATAATATACAAAGAGAACACCCATATCGATACAAACAATCATACTCATGAAAACAAATATTTGTACCGTGCGAGGAATCAAACCCGCCACCTTCGCAAGTAAGGCGGTATGCTAAACCACTAGACCACTGAGTCTGTCAAAATTATAAACATAAATGACACTTATTTAGCATTACATCAGTATCAGTAGGGTTTACAGCTAATTTTAATATGATATTTGTCATTAAAGTTTTAACCTAACAAAAAATTTTTTTGTAAAGTATGTTATATAACTAATATTTAATGCATTTTTCCTATGTCACGATAAAATACTATATATGTGTATTATATCTATATATTGTAGCCTAATACATTTAGGCTACAATATATACATATATAATATACATCTACAAGCTGGTATAGGTACACAAAAAAAAATATATTATTTGTTCAAAAAATTACATGATTATTGTATCATTTATGTCAGTTTTATGTTCTCTTTTCAAATTTAGTTATAGCAATTTCGAAAAAGAGAATACACTTTTACGACGTATCCCGCCAAAATTTCCTTATCTTTTTTTATCCAATTCATTTTCTTTTATAGAGGTGTAGACCACGGAAACTATTCCTATACTGCCGTATCTGTCATTCTGTTTCCCCAAATGTGCAATGCAGGATCGTATTTTTTATCTTTAGTGCCCCAAACACAAACATTACGGAAGGTTTATGCAATAAAGTCTGAATACTAAACTCTACATACAAGTGATATTTCCACTACATTACATTGGTACCCGTGTACGGTTCAGAAATATGATTTATATTGTTAAAATTATGGGCCTTATTTTCGTAATATTGTAACATTATTTTATCTGTGGTAATACTTACTTCAAACTTTCTCATTTTAACATATAGTTAAACAAAAAGGTTATATTAGATACTTCCTTTTTAGAATAGATAAAAAATTTGTTAAAAAAAGTTTATATAAGAGTTTTTCTTTTTAGAATAAATTAAATTAAAAACAAAACAGTATGTAACTACCAATAGCCATCCTCTTTTCATTATTATTAGGAACGTTTTTGCCATCTGCGTATATTCTTGCATATATATGTTATAATATCAGAAACTACTGCTCATTATAATGGAAGGTCGATCTAAATTTTATTTGCCTTTACACAGTCGCTTCTGAACAATTAACACTCGTCAATTATAGCCTCTTCGAACTATAGCCGATGTATTGTCACATCACTTGTCCAGTGCATAATACTAAACTATTCATTTAAAACCATTCTTGTGCACACACATTCCCGTACAAAAACATAAAATATAGTAAAGAAAATTTGACATAAGGTATAACCCATTTGGATGCCAGTAACGTACCACCAGACCAGATATTTTAGCATATATCTGACAGAAATCCGTCCGCTAAACTTCACGGAGAAAATACAGAGCCGTTTCCACGATTTATGGACGTAGAAAAATTCATTGTGTATTATATATATATGTCGAAAATTTGTCACGAGTGAACGCACGCATTGAGCGGAGGTCCTTGAACTTCAGGACGCCGCACTGAGAACTTAGATATGGATCAGGATTGAACGACTCCTTTAGCTGTTACAGTGGCTCTGTGTTGCCAACTTGCCAACTTTATAACTGATACAGTTATAAAGTTATATTTGGCTTCCGTCGTCTGCAACTTAACACAACTTGTTGGTAAATATTTGATTTACTTATAACTGCAGTGTAACAAAAGAAAAGAGAGGATGGCATTAAGAAATTGTTAATATTTTTAATATGTTTTGTAAAGTGTGTAAACTTTAAATTACATCCGGCTTAGACGTGTCGAAACATTATATCGTGATATAATGTTTCATTAAATTATTTCAAGTAATTGTTATATCGACGACAAATGTTTTATGAAGTGATCTGACAAAAGGGACATAATATTTCGAAATAATTAATTATTAAATCTTTCTTATCAATTTAAAGTAATTTCAAAATTTTATTTCACCTTAAAATTAGTGTAACAAACATAAAAAAATATTATGACAGAGCATAATCCATTTTTAGTAATATCGTTTTAGTGAATATACAAGGACACTAATATTTTGTCTCAAAATTTCTAGCAACTTGACAAGTGTAGCAGTTGGCAACACTGCGAGCGGATACAACTGCTAGAACCGTAAAACTACTTAATAAAAAAGGATAGCGACTGCTGTGCGGTAAAAAGACGTCACAACGGAATATCATAATTAAATTTAAAACAATAAGTTTTAGTTTTTCTGCAATCTGTATGTTTATGTTTCGCGCCGAAAATAAGAGCAAATTGTGATCAACTTTAATTAAATTGGCGATATTTTCATAGTGAATTCATAATGTATTTAGTTACATTTTAATATTATAACCCACAGTTTGTATCCAATAAATATTGTCGATAAAGCTATGATTGTAAATCAATAAATTTAAAACTTACCAAATAAGGCTATTTTCTTTTTCTTCCCTCTGCTTTCAACGTCATTCTGTTCAGCCATTGTAAAAGCAAATACCACAGATAACATTAAAAAAACTAAAATAGTTTTCGAACACATTTTTCGAATTATTATTTTTAATTTTTTTTAAGACAAAAGAGCCAATATCATACAGCCAAAAACGTATGCAAATACCAATGTAAAAGAGACTACCGTTTTTTTTTCTAAACTTATTTTATAATGTGGCCTGTATTACTTGTTCCCTTCAGTATGATATTATGAGCAATATTAGTAGCATACTGATTCACAGATGCATGAAACGTTCGAACAAATCGCAAGTTACGTATTCGCTTTCTGTAACCAAGTCACTAAATGTGTTAAATGGGTTACAATGAACTTGACAATGTCGATAATTTGTGACTCGAAAGTATTTATCAAATATTACGAAATAACTTTCACGTTGTATGTGTGCAAAAACATTTATTTTGTCGGTATGGAATTATCACTAAATATTCTACTAATGTTAGAAAAACCAATTTTGAAAAAACTGAACAATGAGTAATTCGGTCATCATTTGTATGCCGAGAATAAAATAATTGTAGAAGTACTAGTAAGAATATATATTTTTATAGAATACTAGCTGTGCGCGCGGTTTCACCGGCGATAAATTTCAGTATATAGATTTCTATATAAAATATCGCCTATTAAAATAGAATAGAAAATTATTTATTCAAATAAACTTAATTTAAGCACTTTTGAATAGTCATAACAGTTTTTTTTATCTACCGCTCATTCGGAAAGCTGTCTCATCACAAGAAGAACGAGCAAGAAACTTGTGTGTTGCTCTTTTAAATAATCCTTGTAAGTTCACATTTTACCAGTCGAAACGTGTGAATACAAATTACCAACCAGCACTAATTTAAGATATATTACTGTAAAATTTCATCAAAATCCGTTCAGCAGTTTTTGCGTGAAAGAGTAACAAACACCCATCCATCCATTTAACCGTCCATACATTTATAATATTATTAAGATGCTACCAATATATGAAATTCCTTGTTCCACAATAAAAAAATAGAGTAACAAACATCCATTTTAATAATATTGTAAAAAATAATTAATTAAAATTAAGATACATCTTATTAATTAACCAAATTTCACATTATATATCTAATATAATACAACAATGTAATAATATAATAACTCAATCTTTACAGAAGTAATTAGAGAAAAAAATAACAAAAAATTGTTCTCTAAACGTACATCCCTACAAAACTAACAAAAAAAAACTAAGATATCAATAGACACTCGCCTATTTATTTAGATTCTAAAATAAAAAAAACCAAGTATTTTCAGCCAGTAATATTATATCGTTACAATAAAAGTAGGTGCAATAACATTGAGAATAAAACGATATGAAAATCTCAATCAATTTTGGTGTTCGCTTTTCAAATATCATATTCCGATTATAATAAATTTTCCCGCGCTTTCGTCGAGTTCCCGCCATATACAAAATGAATGACCATCTTATAGCGATCCCCGTATCGAAACATTTAATTCGTATATAAAAGTCTACATAAAATGGTTACTTCACCTGGTTAACGAGAGTAGTGGATGCAATCGTTCATTTTTAGGGTATTCGAAATGATCCCTCTGGAAGCCTAAACCAAACTGGATTGAGCGAGGGTCGGGTTGTTAGAATTTATTGGTTTGTAAGTGTTGTAACTATTTTACATACACTTAGGGTTGCTCACTTCTATTAGGCTACTAGCTGTACCCGCGGTTCACTCCGTTTTCTGATGCATCTATATTACTGTAAAGTTTCATCACAATCCGTTCAGTAGTTTTTTGCGTGAAAGAGTAACAAACGTCTATACTTACAAACTTTCGTGTTTATAATATTACTAGCTTTTGCCCGCGGCTTCGCTCGCGTTAAGTTAACCCTTAGGGGTGGAATTTACCAAAATTCTTTCTATGGGGATGCCTACGTCATAGTAGCTTTATGCATGCAAACTCTCAGCCCGATCGGTCCATCCCCTATTTTATCGCCTTGGGGATAGAATTAATCAAAATCCTTTCTTAGCGGATGCCTACGTCATAACATCTACCTGCATGCCAAATTTCAGCCCGATCACTATGTCAGTCACCTTTAAGTTATATATAGAAATGGACGTAAATCTAATAAATAGGTCGGTAAACACAATATTGCATGCAGTATCCAAGATCACGAAACGTTCACAGAAACATTTCCTTTGCCAAAACCAATTTAATATCTACTAAAAACATATCGCCTCGGAAATAAGTTTTTCCGTGATCTTTTGTAGCTGTATTTTTTCCAGTTTGCCTCTGAGGTTTATCGAATAAGGTAAGCGTGGATAAAGTAGTGTATATACGCACGTAGATCTGTGGATATACCATTAATGGAGTCTACACGCTGTACATATATTTTTTTCAACACACTTGCTCGTAATGTGGATGTAATTTCACCGGTTTTCGATGTATAAAGTAGGTCATAAAACACGAGTATGTTTCCGAACCCAAATTACGACGGCCTGAGCCGAGGTTCGAACCCCTAGCCCCTCTGCCTTTGTGGCCTCAGACTAAACTCGTATCCGTCAGCCGGGAGTTGGCCTTCAATCGCTCCATAAGTCCTTCTGGGGTTTGGAGTACTATCTGCACTCGCTCTCTATCGTCCAGTGAAGCTGTAAAGGCCAGCCACAGCCAACGCCATTAGAGTAGTCTGAAAAAAAAACGAGTGTGTTAGTTACATTCCACAGCCGCACTATTTGTTTTTTTTATCATATTTCAAACTACAGCCACGCCAGCCAGTTGGCAGGGCTCTGATTTAAAAAAATAAAACGGCGGGAAAGCAACAATCTTATGGTTGAAGTTTATTCAAAATCAAGAGCGTTGAAAAACTGTTAACACACTCGGCTCTATTACGCACTCGCCTCTGGTTAGGCCTGAAATTCTGTTTCGTGTGTTATAACCATCATAACGCACTTATATTGTAATACAGTAAAATAGGTAGGTATTTGTTTATTCTATCCTTTGCTCTGATATAAATAAATATATTATTTCAATCAATTGTAATAAAACTGCTATTTCAATCTCTTGTAAAAGCATTTTTTCGCGCCAATAATAAAAACCACAGATAAGATATAATTAATAATGACATATTTAATTTTGACAGATCTTTTTCTTTTTAGAAAAAGAAATCTTGGTAAAATGGCATCTAAATTTGTTCTTCTTTTAAGTAAAACTACAGTACAGTAATTCTACAGGTATCAAAGATATTAACTATAATTTCTAATTTGAGAACATTATTTAGATATATTTGTTTGCATTTTCTTATCCCACATAATTTCCCTTATCTTTGTTCAGATTATAGCACCTGGTAACCCTAGGACCTCATGATTTTTACGTACGCGAAGCCTGCCTCTACTCGTGCGCGGTAATCTATAAAATTGTAATTATACTCTGTGTTAAACATTGTTTTTTCTGTTTTTGATTAGTCTATGCCAAAAAGATTATGTGAGAGAGCCGGCATCTTGTAACTATTGCGAATATTATTTATTAGTAATTGTGAATTAATAAATAGAAGTACTAAATAGTATTTTATTTTCACTCGGCCCGAAGAACCATATAAGATCTGTATTACTTAAAACTCAAGTATCATGAATGGAGAATAAAATCAATAATTGTACCAATATTAATATAATATATGGCTGAAAGGCGATTGTTAGTAATGTAAACTAATAAACCATATCAGGTTGACCTCCACGCGGTTACCGCACGCGGGTTCATCATTACATATATCATCCATATATATATAGCAACTAGCTGTACTCACGACTTTGTCCGCGAGGAATTTAACTACATTTTTCTAAAATAAATGTAGCTTAAGTTACTCCTTATTACATCAGCTACCTGCCAATAAAAGTCCTGTCATAATCGGTCCAGCCATTTCAGAGATTAGCCGGAACAAACAGACAGACAGATAAAAACTGTAAAATAGAATAGTTTGGTGTATGTACCGTATTTATATTCATATGCATGTAGTAGAAAACGGTTATTTCAATATTACAAACAGACACTCCAATTTTATTTATATGTATAGATGTATAGATAAGAGTTGTGACATAGTCAAGTGTATGTCATTGGGCTCCCTAACACATGGCTCATCCGTTGTCTCGTGAACGGATGCAGCTTGTAGGGACCTGATCACTATGATTGACAGCCTCAGTGGTCTAGTGGTTTAGCACACCGCTTTACTATCCGATGGTCGTGGGTTCGATTCCTCGCACGGTACAAACATTTGTATTCTTGAGTACGATTGTTTGTATCGGTCTGAGTATTTTCTATGTATAATATTTATTTATTTACAAAAAAAAATGTATCCATGTATTTATATCAGTTGTCTAGTACCCACAGCACAAGCTCTGTATATCTTGGGACTAGATGGCGCTGTGTGAATTGTCCGGAGATATATATATATATTTATTTACATTGTTTACTCAATTAACTATTTATTTTACACTAGCTGTGCCCGCAGTTTGATCCGCGCGATATTTATAGCCTATGTGTTATTCTGATGTATAATATTACTGTAAAGTTTCATCAAAATCGATTCAATAATTTTTGCGTGAAACAACCATCCATACTCACAAAATTTCGCTTTTATAATAGCGCTATATGTTATTTTGTATTCACGAAAATCTTAAAAATGTAATATTAAATAACTTGTGTATAAAAGAGCAACAGACAAGATTCATTCTTACGTCTTCTCATTCTTCTTACCTGAATTTGCATTCCGAATAGAGCAAGCGTGGGGCATGTCTTATGTCTGAAAAATATTTGACTTTATATTTAGTTTATTCACTGAATACTTACTATCATTTTCATGTTTTATAATAAGTAAATAAATAGAGTTAGTTATAGGCAATTAAACATCCTGCCACGAGTATTAGAAGCCGAGAAAACTTAGAACAAATGTTTATTACACTAAGAAATAACGGGTCTGGAAGACGAGCTTAATCGCCACTTTTTTTCTTTTCAATTAAACATCGGCAAACAGCTATAGTGCTCCATCTTAAATTGTAAAATAAATTGAGTTTTTA